AGAGATTTATGGTAGGACTTCAGAGTTATGAACTGACCAGTCAACAACACACCTCATTTGGAACCAGAAGTACACAATCAGGCAGCAGTGGGTGGGGGAAGCAAGTACAGTACTGTGTTAAACGTAAACTATTAAAAGAAGGAAACAGCATTTTTCTTCTGCATAGTAAAGCTTCAAAGCTGTATTAAGTCAATGTGAAGTTGTAAGCTTTTGAAAGAACAACCATAATGTTTTGTTCAGAGTTATGGACAACCTCCATTCCCAAAGTGTTCATAACTGTGATGTTCTACTGTATTCAGTTCAAAGGACTCTTACCTCCATAAGCAAATATCAGGAGATACACTCAAGTCAGAAGTGAAGTGGCTGCTCTCAAAGAGGATGGATACATAGCACTCACTGTGAAAGTGTTTATCTCCATCTTTTCCTCCCTGGCAGCATCTCTAGAATTTGTCTCTTCTCATTGAAACACCTTTAGCATGTAGAGCGGGAGACTAACAAAACCTGGGCAATAATGTAACCTCATTTAAACAAAATAAAAGAAGCTTTTGGCTGTCCTGGCTAGACCCATTTCACATTTTGGGTTCCCATGGAAGCCTGAGAGTGTTTCCAGTTTTCTAGTCCTTTTGGTAATGTGATACTTTTGTTCCTTCTTTAACTAATTAATGCTAGTAAGATATTTGTAACATATAAAGCACTGCATAATTGCTAGCAATGATTACTTTTACTATTTTAATGTTTCCATATTACATAAAATCTCTCTATATTGTATATTACTATTATTGTTGCACTTATTACTGTCAACAGTATTTCCATATTATATAAAACCTCTTTTTTTCCCTATTGTCCCATCTTCTGTTCTTGAATGTATTTCAGGTGGGGCAAAATCCTGGCCTCATTGAGGTCAGTGGCAAAACTCACATTGACTTCAGAGGGCCAGGAATTCATCCCTGGAGTATTTCATAAAATTTTATATAAAGAGATAAGTAGTCCTATATGAGGAGGTTTTATTTTTTTGGAATGGGAGATTCAGTTGCTTGGAGAGGTCTAGCATGTGCTGAATTCTGCCTCGTGTAATTTTATTCATGAATGATATGTCACCATATCTGAACAAAGGCAACACAAACAGAAAATGTTTAAAGCAAGGCAGTGGAAGAATCAGAGGAGCTTTCCACATGAAAAGAGGTTTAAAGGGCCAGGACTGTTAAGTTTGAGAAGAGAGAGAGAGAATACAATAGAATTTTATAAAATGTGAAGGCTCCCACTTATTTGTCCCTTAATACAAGAACAAGGGAGCATTCAGTGAAGTTAAAAGGCAGCAAATTTAAAATGGATACAAGTAATTTTTAAGGCAATGTATAATCTGTGGCATTCACAGCTAAAGAATAACCATTGTATCAAAGAGTTTAGTACAGGGGTCGGCAACCTCTGGCATGTGGCTCGCCAGGGCAAGCCAAGCACCCTGGTGGGCCGGGCCAGTTTGTTTACCTGCCGCGTCGGCAGGTTCGGTGGATCGTGGCTCCCACTGGCTGTGGTTCGCCGCTCCAGGCCAATAGGGGTGGTGGGAAGCCCCAGCAGGGTGCTTACCTTGCCGAGCTGCGTGCCAGAGGTTGCCGACCTCTGGCTTAGTAAATGTAAAAAAAGGAGGGGGGAGAAAGATTAGGCATTTGTGAATGAAAACAGCATTTGGGAGGATAAAAACCAGCTGGTGTAGGGAAAAAAATCTTCCCCGTGGTATGCTACTGCACAGTTAAATGGATTGTATGTTTCAGAACTTCAGCTTGAGCATCTGCACACATCCTGCTCTGTAGTTATCAGACCCAGGGCTTTAGAGCAGAGCCCATTGCTGGAGCGCGGAGCAGTGGAGCTGCAGGTTTTTGCCTGGAGCGGAGCTGGAGCACCGCTCCAAAGCCCCGATTCAGACCAATTCTAGTAATAAATCCTTTATTGGTATCCAAAATACTGAAGCATCCTAATTGCATTATGAGCTCCCTCCAAGGAACACCACCCATAGCCAGGACCAATCAGTTCCTATTGTCTAGCCTGAACAAAACAACTTTGGTATACTCCCTTGAGCCATCAGTTTACCCATAAACAAATCTAGCGTTCTCCCTTAAACCATTGTTGTTTCCTTACAAAACCCCCTACCCATGCTCAAGTAAGTGTTCTGATGCCTGGATCCAACCTCTGCATCAGTTCCATTGGGACGCCATCTTCTTCTGACTGATTGTGCTGGGGGCTCTGCCTGTCTCCAGCACTCTGGACCTTCAGCAGCTACCACCACCACTTGGGACCCCCGATCGATTCAAGCTTCAGGGAGTGGTGAGAAACCATCTCTCTCTCTCTCTCTCTCTCTCTCTAGGTATAGCCTTCTGACCCTGACTTGCGTGATCAGTTATTTCTGAACCTGACTTTTATAATCAAATTTGTTAGATTTAATATTATAACTGTTTTGCTTGTTTGGCTCCCCTACGGTTATTACCTGGCAATAAATAACTTTCATGGTTAAGCTGGGTTGCTTCTCTCTGTCTCTCTCTCCCCCCGCCCCCAGGGGTGTGTTTTTTGGCTTCCTCATTCGCTCTGCAGCAACACTCCTCGTACCTAAGCTAAAGATCCCTGCAGCACCCAAAAATCCTGTGGGGTTTACTCATCAAGTGGGTTACTACCAGAACAATTGTAATGTGAAAGTGGGGATAGGGACATGTTGAATCTGGGACCTATGAGGGTGGCAGCTTGGAGGTGCTGTTTGACCCAGCCTGCTGAATCCAAGGGCCTGTTTTATTTATTTATATATATATATATATATATATATATATATATATATATATATATATAA